TAGGGTGCGAGAAAAGACAAACTCACAAACAGCAAAACTTTCCGGTTACTCTCCTTCAGCTCTGGATTCCCTGAGCCGAGGATCTGGAAATGAGTCCTGACTATCTGGAGATGCAGGGTGGGACCATGTCCATCCCTGCACCTTGGTGTAGTGGGGTCAAGGAGATTGAGGTTGGTTAAAAATGACCTTTGGAAAGTCTGTACCTCCTGGGGCTTAGAGGAGTCAGTGTTCTCTAGGCCCCAAAACTAACCTCAATAGACCATCACAGAACAGGTGTGCAGAGTCCCATAGCTGCATCCACCTGCTGCTTATGTGATTCCGTGGACTTCCAGCAGGCACGGGCAAAATCCTGTGTTTGAGAAATGTTCTGGGAGAAGGTTCATAATTGTCATCAATTCTCAGCTACCTCTGCAGACCCTAAAAGTAGCTGAGACACTGCTAGTTAAAGCGAGCACCTGCTGTAAGTACCAGCAGTGTCCCTGTCTTCTTCACTGTCACACGAACAGCTGCCTGCTCACTCTGCGTATGGGGCTTTCTGCCAACTTCCTCGTACATATTATCTCAGGCTAAGCCTCGCACCGAACTAATGAGGTTTCTGTAACTCTTATCCTCATTGCACAGATGAGAGAACAAAACCCACAACTAGGCAACTAGTACTATGTAGAATCAGGCACCTTTCTATCAGCGGCTGTCCACTGTCCCATCTGGGTCGCCACTTGTCGGGCCTGAGACTGGCCAGGTCTTGGGCCCAGCTTATCTATTATCCGGACCTGAATGCTGTGCTATCTTGCTCAGAAACCATTACCCTTCGGTGCCTGAGGGCTGTTAGCCTTAGCAGAAGGGAGAGAGAGAGAGAAACAGTCTTCGAGGGAGAGAAACAGTCTTAGTAAGAGAGTATATAGAAAATGCCATGAAGGCTATGTTAACCAGTTTGATGAAAATATTTCAAATTGTATATGAAAACAGCACACTGTACCCCATGACTGTATTAATGTACATAGCTATGATTTAATTAAAAAAAAAAAAAGGAAGAAAGAATAGCAAGGCCCTGCGAGCAGGAGAAGTGAGAGTCAGAGTTAGCAAGTCCGTGAGAGAATAGCCTGCACGCTCCCTGACTGCCTTCTCCTGCAGCTTCTTTCTTTTTTGGCAGTTTTTGGCCAGGGCTGGGTTTGAACCCGCCACCTCCAGCATATGGTGCCAGGACCCTACTCCTTTGAGCCACAGGAGCCGCCCTCTTTTGCAGCTTCTTATAGACGTGATCCTGTGACTGCTTGCACCACACACAGGTGCAGAGACTGCCAACCTCTGATGATCTCGTCTTGCGCCCTCTCGTGTTCTGGAGAGCTGAATCCCTTCCCCATGCCCTTATCACCCAGGCTTCGTATTACCAAGATGTTACCAGTGTTCCTTCTAATCACAGAGCGTTCCGAGCCTAACTCTCACTTCTCCTCCCATCAGCTGTATGGTCTGCTACACTTTTCACGGGCAAGACCCTGAGAGTAAGCCCCTGGGTACATTTTGCATTCCAGGAGCCTAACTCTCCTCATTTTGACCCCTGCCTTGCCTGGTAGGGACACCCCAGAGCCTGCACCATAAAACTTAGTGTTATATTGGACACTAGCCATTTTCCATGACTATTATCCTTCGGAAATATCAGTATAGGCACAACTCACATTTACCCAGCTTAGATTGTGTCCCTGCCATTGTGCAAAGTGCCTTTTCAATACTACCTTTTAATCCTCTCCCTGGGGGTCTAAAATTATTATTTTATGAATGAGAAAATAGGCACAAAGCAGTGACTTGTCCAAGATCATCGGTTTAGAAGTGGCCTTTAAAGAAGGTCTGGCCCCAGGCAGTCTGGCTCCAAGCTCCTAGCTCAGTGGCTCTAAACCTTGGCTACACATTGGAATCTCCCGGAAAGATTTCACACACACTGATGCCTAGAGCCCACGACCAGAAATTCTTACATTGTTTGTCTAGGTGCAGCCAGGTGCAGAGATTTTCATTAACAGGGCAATTCTAATATCCAGCCAATTTTGAGAGCTTCTGTTTTAGCCACTGCACTTTCCTGTCTCAGAACAAAGTTGCTGCTTGAGTCAGACTGACATCTTTAGTCTTGTGCCATGAAAATCTAGGGCCACCTTCACTTTCCTCCCTAGGAGCATGGTTTGGGCTAATCCCAGAGCTGGTAGAGACCCCCAAGGCCAGAGGTTTTAGGCCTTCCTATTTGGGGGGTGTGGTTTGGAGGGGACAGAGGGCCATTGACACATGTAATTGGGTGCACGTACCCTCTTACCCTCTCATGGAGAAAAATCATAATTTTCCTTTTGCTCTTGGCAACCCTTGTTCTTAC